TGAATGGACGGATATCAAGCTCCATGTGTCACAGAATGCCGCTAACTTCCAGACAGCCCATCCTCTGGCAGTGTGGCAACGGATTGGCCAGGAGGACACAGACAGAGGGGACTACAGTAATATCCTCACAGTCACCCACCTTACCAGTGTATTTCCCCTGTTAAATGCATCATGTGAAAGATCCTTTTCCACAATGAAAAGGGTGAAAAGTGCCTGGCGTTGTGGACTCACCACAGAAACATTGGACCAGCTCATGAGGATATCGATTAGCACACCATTTCTTTGTAAACAAAATGACTGGTCGTGTGAAGTAAGCGAAAAAAAAGTGTTGTACCGTGTCAGCTACGAAGCGAAAAGTAGTCAAATGGTCAAAAGATAGCGCAAGGAGTACGTTACGGAATCATTATTGCAGGTGGGAGGCATTCAAAGGAGAAAATAACTGCCTTAGCAGTTAGTACGGTGCATGTACTCTTCCGGTAGCCGGTTAAGCTGAAATGGAATCAACCTCGCTAGTATCTTTGTCTGAGTTTGAACACAGATGAACTTAGTTTAATATGTTAATGGGCATGCATTGGAGAGATTTTACTTTGTGTTTATATAATTATACAGCGGTTTATGCGAAAGGAAGAGATAAGTGACTGGTTAGTTTGATTTTGCCATGAGGCCCTCCAAGGGATAACTGTTGTGATGGCCACGGCGGGTACTCGGGGTCAAATGAGATACGTGCGCTATTAGATTTACATAATTTATAATATTAGCGGGTCGAGTAAAATGGTATGATTTAATTTTCTTTCTGATTTAAACGATTTTTTAAAATTGCGACGACGCAATATATAAAAAAATCGCTCTTCGTCAGAAAGCTCCGTTATCGCAGCTGGATTAAAAATGTCAAAATAACAGACCAGGATGAATAACTGAGGAAGGAGAACCTACTTCTAGTAAATAGGATCGCATAACATTTCTTTTTAGCCCACCATCATCTGATGGTGGGCTATTAAAATCACCCTGCGTCCGTGGTCCGTGGTCCGTCCGTCGTCCATGGTCCGTCCTTAAACAATTCTTGTTATCAGTATTTCTCAGGAAGTATTAGAGGGATCTTTCGCCAATTTTGTATGCAGGTTCCCCTTGGTCCTTAGCTGTGCAGGGCAACTTTTGAGACTGATCAGATAAAACACATGGCCGACAGGCAGCCATCTTGGATTTTGATAGTGAAAGTTTGTTATCGCTATTTCTCAAGAAGTACTAAAGGGATCTTTCTCAAATTTTATATGTGGGTTCCCTTTGGTCCTTAACTGTGCAGGGCAACTTTTGAGACTGATCGGATAAACAACATGGCCGACAGGCAGCCATCTTGGATTTTGATATTGAAAGCTTGTTATCAGTATTTCTCAAGAAGTACTAAAGGGATCTTTCTCAAATTTTATATGTAGGTTCCCCTTGGTCCTTAGCTGTGCAGGGCAATATATGAGACTGATCGGATAAACAACATGGCCGACAGGCAGCCATCTTGGATTTTGATAGTGAAAATTTGTTATCGCTATTTCTCAAGAAGTACTAAAGGGATCTTTCTCAAAATTTATATGTAGGTTCCCCTTGGTCCTTAGCTGTGCAGGGCAATATTAGAGACTGATCGGATAAACAACATGGCCGATAGGCAGCCATCTTGGATTTTGATATTGAAAGCTTGTTATCAGTATTTCTCAAGAAGTACTAAAGGGATCTTTCTTAAATTTTATATGTGGTTTCCACTTGGTCCTTAACTGTGCAGGGCAACTTTTGAGACTGATCGGATAAACAACATGGCCGACAGGCAGTCATCTTGGATTTTGATATTGAAAGCTTGTTATCGCTATTTCTCAAGAAGTACTAAAGGGATCTTTCTCAAAATTTATATGTGGGTTCCCCTTGGTCCTTAGCTGTGCAGGGCAACTTGGGAGACTGATCGGATAAACAACATGGCCGACAGGCAGCCATCTTGGATTTTGATATTGAAAGTTTGTTATCGCTATTTCTCGGGAAGTACGGGAGGGATCTTTCTCAAATTTTATTAATGGATTAAAAGAAGAACTAAACAGATCTTTCTTATATTGCAATGATAGATTCTATTTCTTTCACATTAAGTACTGTACTAGTAAATATGTGAAATGACAAACTCACTTTGAAGGTTGGCTTTCATACACATCAGTATTAAGTTTAGATCAAAAGTTACCTCAAGGTGCATTACTGTTAACATGACTCGGTCAAACAGATTAGAGGAAAGAAGAGAAAAGATCGAACTGACAAAGAAATAATGAAGATGGTACAAGGGTGGGCGCCAAGATCCCTCTGGGATCTCTTGTTTAAATCGTAATTTATCAACAGTTCATGTTTTCATATGATGTTGACTTATAATATATAATCATGTAACACCCTATTCTCTATAATGAATTAATTGTCGACTTCAGATAGAATCGAAATACGTATTGAAAACAGGGGAAAAAAACTAAGTTTACGTTGTAAAAATGACGCGTGCTGCCGATAACTACGGCTTCTGTTTCGGACAAAAATGAAATGATTAAAGAAAAGTTGTCCCAACATAAAAAGGGTCCATTTACAAAAATGCTTTAATCTATGTAAAGTATTGAAAAAGAATAATGATCAAGTATCTCAACACGTTCCATATCTGACACATATTCTACATAGTGGTTTTGCCATACAGTTAATTGTGTGTGATGGCTAATATGACTTACTAAGTGTTAGAGTATGGAGACAATGAAAGTGGAAAACAGAGTATACATAAATTTATATGCAGGGTCTAGAAAAAAATATTGGCCACAGACATTGAGCTGTACAATTTAATAAAAAATAATCACAAATGTTTCTCTTTTTTTATACGCATGTAGTTTGTCATTGCATATATGCACTTTATGAAAACATTTGAAAAGGGATATTCGTCTCGTGAATATTCTTTTTACAGAAAGGTTTGTCCCATGGTTGAGGGAAGGTGTTTAGCCCCGTACTATCTGTACCGGTCACATTCCGGTACTAAATTCAATACATATTTATAAATATCTACTTTATGTTTATGCCTATTATCATTGTTGACATTTACTTGTAAATGTATGACGGGAGAAGGCTGTGATAAATTGTAAAAACTTGTGCCTCCATCCCTTGTTCAATTTTATTGGCAACAAATATGTTTACAGCTAAATAAATTTAAATTCTGAATATTGGCAAGTGTGCAATTGATGATGAATAACTACTGTTCAATAAGTTTGAATACGGACTTAGAAATCATATAACTTGGTTTCATAGTGCGGTAAGAAGTTGCAGTTGCCTGACGGCCCCTCTCTGGGGGCCCCTTTGGAAACCGTTTCATCTCGCTCAGACCACTTGTTTTTACTGCCTAGTCAGGTGACGTTACGAACAATTCAAGTGGTCAAACTGGAAATTTGGAACGGATTATGAATATGGGGATAGCGAGGTACAGTTGTGGGATCGCACAACGTTACACGATCGTTCAGCTTTTCATCGTAACGTTGTGCGGTGTGCGCACGATGTGTGCACGGTGTGTGAACGGTGTGTGCCCGATGGGTGAACGGTGTGTGCACGATGGGCGAACGATGAAAAGCTGAACGATCATTGTTTGCGCACATCTGTGCGCACGATGGACGGACGTTGTGCGATAACAATCGTGGTTGGTGTTAATATAGGAATGCCTTAAAGGGGCTGGTCGGGGAAAAAATGTNCTCTTGAACTTGGCCAGGGTATTCGACTTCCTAATAGCAGATGGTAAGCTATTCCACAACGTAGCCGAAACCCTCCCAAAGCATCTGTTTCCGTAGGTCACAGTACGAGATTTTGGGACACACAACAAAGATTCTGACTCCGACCGCAGTGATCTTGACGGCTGATACAGGGTAACAAGTTCCTGTAGGTACTGTGGCGCTGTTCCATTCACTGCCTTGTATGTGTATACCAGAATTTTGTACTGCGACCTGTATCGTACAGGTAACCAGTGCAACGAATAAAGCGCAGGTGTGATGTGCTCTCTCTTTCGAGTAAGAGTAATTTAAATTTCCCGCGTTTCGTAGAATAGCGGGAAATATTTGTCCTATAGGTACGGAGTACTCGTATAGGTCGGGGAGCACGAGCTCTTATGGTTAGCCAATGAGATTGCTTGGTAAGTGATGACGTAATAAGGTAAGGAGGTTTAGGCATTCTAGCGCTTTGGTCAGCTTAGGAACGGACCACTGAATTTTGCTGATGGAGACAGATAACCCCGAGATGGCGGGCCAGCGCACGTTTTCACAGAGTGATATGTTAGATAAATTAGAAGAGATTATGACGTCCAAGCTGGAATCATTTAAGCAAGAAATTAACGAAACCCAGAGAGCTATTTCCGACGTTCAATTATCTAAAATGTCGGAAATATCGCCGTACCAATTTAAGAAGAAAGGAAACGAGGAACAGTTCAAAGTAAATGCAAAGATAGAACACAAGTTACAGGAGGCACAGTCTGCGTTGCAGGAAAACCCGTCACACAACGTATACAGGGAGAGGGCCAGCACGAAAATTGCCGAGGGTATGGACATTTTGAAACATAGACAGAAGTTAATTAGGTTAGCCGACTCCTCTGAAACGGGATGGAAAGTAGTAGAGGAGTACGAGACGAATGCTTTGGCGGAGGATTCCGAGGATGAGAAACGGATTTCGAGAGCGGAAGCACGGGCTCAACGGAAAATGAAAAATCAGAGAGCTGCACGTCAAAGGAGATATTTTCCCTATGGCGCCCCCGCGAAGACACATACACAGAGCCAGCCTGTGACAGCAGAGGCGACGACGACGACAGGCACGACCAGACGTCCTGGAACATGTTTTGCGTGTGGGAAGCCCGGTCATTGGAGGATAGACTGTATGCAGAAAGGCCCAAATAAGGTGTTGGGCTACTCTCAAACATAGACGAAGAAATACGGCGTACAGGGCAGGAAACGGCTCGGGCAAGCATGTTGGCTAAGAGAATGGCGGGCTACATTTTAAACTCGAGGAGCGACAATACGGTGGTAAAATATTACAGGGCTTTCAAAAAGTGGGAGGATTTCATAAAGCAGGACGGAGGATGTTCACTTCCAGCTCAGCCCATACAGGTGGCGCTGTACTTGACACACATTTTGGATGTGGGTGGTTCATACAGTGTTGTTTCATCGGCTGTGTACGGAATTAAGTGGGCTCATTCTATTAACGCTTTCGACGATCCTACGGAGAATGGTTTTGTAAGAAACATGTTGGAGGCCGCAAAACGACAAGTACGGGCACCCAGGATAAAGAAGGACTGCGTATCGGCTGATATGCTTATCAAATTATGCGATAGCCATAAAGACTCTAGGGACATTACTGTGGTGAGAGATTTGGCGATGATTGTTCTGTGTTTTGCTGGTTTTCTAAGGTACAATGAGTTGAGCGAGTTAAGATGTGAGGATGTATCGTTTCACGGGTCGTGCTTAAAGCTAATGATTAGAAAATCTAAAACCGATCAGTACAGGCTAGGGAATGAGGTAGTCATCGCAAGAGGTAAAACATCAGCATGTCCTTATTTGATGCTGGAAAAATTTATGGATTTGTCTGGAGCAACGGTAAGTTCAAATGATTATTTGTTCAAACCATTAGTCCGTGGAAAGGCCGGGTGTAAGCAGATAGGTAAGCAGAAACCATTAAGTTATACGAGGGCAAGAGAATGTGTTGTCAAAAGGTTGCAGGAGGTAGGTAGTGGTTTGAATTTAGGGTTACATTCTCTGAGGGCAGGTGGCGCTACAGAAGCGGCAAATAGTAATGTAAACGAAAGGTGCTGGAAGAGGCATGGGAGATGGAGAAGCGATGTTGCTAAGGATGGCTATGTGGCCGATTCGCTTCAGCATAGATTGCAGGTTACCCAGCAGTTGGGCTTGTAGGTATATGAGGCTAATATCTATTGCATATTATGTACTTGTACACTGAGTAGTTAGGCTCGTACAAGTTAGGTAACAGTCAGGTTTGTGAGTATTTGTTTAAGTACGAGTTTTTTTGTGTTTTTTTTTACTATGATTACACCAGGTTTTTTGTATAGTTTTAGCATATAATCATTAATCAGTCCCGTTCTTTTGTAATCTAAAGGCAGAGCAGCTAACTGCATATAAGGAGTTTGTTGTTTATAACATATGATGAGTATATAGAGGACTTTAAATTTCCCGCGGTTAGTAGAATAGCGGGAAATATTTGTCCTATAGGTACGGAGTACTCGTATAGGTCGGGGAGCACGAGCTCTTATGGTTAGCCAATGAGATTGCTTGGTAAGTGATGACGTA